TGGCATGGGATCTGCAGGACTGGGATCTGCTGGGTTTGGGGTGTCCGGAACTGGGATCTGCTGGGTTTGGGGTGTCTGGAACTGGCATCTCCATCATCCAATGGAACTGGGATCAGCCGGGTTTAGGGTTTCCTGAGTCAGGGATCCACTGGGGCTGGGATCTGCTGGAGCCGGGACCTGCTGGGACAGGATCAGAAAGGTTTGGGGGTTCTGGAACTGGGATCTGCTGGGATCTGGGATCTGCCGGGGCTGGGATCTGCTGGGTCAGGGATCAGCTTGATCTGGGATCCACTGGATCAGGGATCTGCTGGGTTTGGGGCTTTGGGGTCAGGGATCTGCTGGGATTTGGATCCACTGGATCTGGGATCTGCTGGGTTTGGGGCTTTCGGGTCAGGGATCTGCTGGGATTTGGATCCACTGGGGCTGGGATCTGCTGGGATTTGGATCCACTGGGGCTGGGATCTGCGGGGATTTGGATCTGCCGGGGTTGGGATCGACAGGATCTGGGATCAATGGCTGCTGGGACTGGGATCTGCAAGGACTGGGATCTGTTCAGATCCGGGATCTTCCAGGTCTGGGGATTCTGGGTCAGGGATCTGCTGGGATGGGATCCACTGGGGCTGGGATCTGCTGGACTGGGGGTCTGTGGATGCAGGGATGATCCCCAGATGGGATCCCTGGGATCTGCTGGGGTCGGGATCTGTTCTTTGATCTGCAATCTCCTGTGGCTGGAGCATCTGGGGTCTCCTGGAGCTGGGATCCACTGGACCTGGAGCAGTCAATCAATGGGGATTTACTGGGAATGGGATCTGCTGGGTTTGGGATCTGCTAGGAATTGGATCCACTGGGAATGGGATCTGCTGGGAATGGGATTTGCTGGCCCTGGGATCTGATGGGCCAATTGCTGTGACAATTTATGTATTTCAACGGGAAAGGTAAGTTGTACCTGATTGGTTGCATATGGTCCCTGCCCAGTCAGCATATCTGGCTGGACTCCATAAAAGGGGTCCCCTACATTTGTGTGTTTGTTGGCCTCTTCAATTGCCAGCCGCCTCCATTCCCTTTCAAACATGAGAAACTGGGAAAGTGTCAGGAGCAGGGATGCAATGTTAGATGAATCACCGGGACAAAGCACATCTGCTGTGAATATATACTGAATGATGTTCCTGGCTGCTTCTGATCTGATCCCATGAGTGGTGACTGTCTGCTTAGCTGATTGTAGGATTTTCCAGTCATGGGGCTCCCAGATGGCATTCCCATTAGACACTATGACAGGACAAGCCAGGGAGCTGACAGCCTTCCAGTCACCGTCTAAAAGAGCATCCTTCACAACTGATGCCCATCGGGACTGCAAGGGATTTTTTAAAACTGCTGGCAATGCCAATTTCTGTCCAGTGGAAGGTTCCACTGGTTGAGCCTGACGATTTGAAAGGGTGGCAAGGCGGGCTATTTTTTTTCTGCAACATATTTGGTCTTTGTATCTTGTTCTGTGATCGCTTGTTCCTGCTACAATTGACAGCAGGGGGGTCTGGCTCTGAGTCGTCAGAATCTGAACTCAGTGGGAGGGGGCAGCGCAGCGCTACCGTGGTGGAGTGAGAACTGGCATTTTCAGGGCTCTGCTCTGCTGTTGTTTGGGTGGCTGCTTCTGCCATTCCGCTAGCATTGGGGTGCCCAGCCCCTCCAAGCCGCGCTGGGTTGCTCGCCGCCGCCGCCAGCACCGCCGCTGCTGCTGCAGGGGGGGGCAAGGGGCCGGCACAACCTCACTCCCATCTCCGCCTTGATCTCCGCCCCTGTGTTCTTCCTCCTGACTCAGCCCTGTTTTGTTACTGTAAGAGGCAGTCTGAAGACCCTCACTCTTTTGCCTGCCAATTGCCATGAGAAGGAACTCCCTTCCCCCACTGCAGTTCCGGCTTGGATAAGGCAACAGTGCAGGTGCAGCCGCTGCACCGTTACGTTCTGTTCCGAACGAGGCCCGGCAAGAACTTGGCAAGAAGTTGGCAAGGACTTGGCGAAGACCCAGCGTGGACCCAGCACAGAGCGGCGTTCTGCAATTCCTGCTTCACTCTCCACCTTTAAGTTGAATGAACTGCTGGGGTGACTCTGGTGGTCTCTCACTGAAGACCCCTCATCTGCCTCCTTACCACCGTGACAGACGGAGATCAAGAACCCTCTCCCCAAGGACTGAGACTGAGACCCCTACCACAGAGAGTGGTGGTGGGGGGAAATGACATGACCTGTTCTTCTCCAGTAACTTCAATGGACTTATTCATCATTGTGTTTGTTCAGCCTGGATGATTTTCTGTAGATACACCTGTTCCCCCCATAGCAATTTCAATAGACTCTCATTGTTCTGCATGTTTCCCCCTTTTCCCTCTGTGGACTATAACTGGACCCCTGGGTTGGGCAGGACTTTGGAGACTCTCCCCAGTACAACAAGACGGATCCCCATGGTCCAGACCAGTGAGGACCTCGCCTGTGTTGGTAGCTATTCCCATCCCCCCTTCTCTCCCTCTCTCTCTCTCCTTTTTATTTCTTTTCTGACCCCACTATCGCATTTATTGGTTTTTGGCCCTTAATAAAGGGGCATCTGTTGTGATTAAACTGATAGTCCCCTGCTGTTTGTCTTTTGCACTTTGGGATCGGCTAACGAACCATCACGACACCCCGCTGTAAGCGGATCGTGACATTTACCAACTCCACCTGCCTCCTCAGGTGTCTCCCCGCCTCCCGAGGGACCTGACGGGGCCCATTCCGAGTTCGCCTCACTCTGCGGGACCGCCGAGCTGATAACATCCGCTGTCTGCGGGCACACTTCTGCCCCTGCCGTGCCCACGCTTTTGCTTTGTCCTGTATCGGCCAGCCCCGCGCCTGCTTCCAAACGAGCGACAAAATCCCTGACAGAGGGACTGACTGGAGCCTTCTGCCCTCGCACTGGCTGCATATTACAAACATTAAAGAATTTTTTAACCCGAGATGGCTTTTGGACTTCTGTCTGTTCTGATGTGGATTGCTCAAACGCCTGAACTGCGGCTTCCGCTGCTTTTTTCTCCGCGGCCGTGCTTTGCAGGGTTTGTAAAACTTTTTTCCAAATGCTTCTAAGCTCCAGCACTATTTTCTTTTCTTTTCTGCGCTCTATCACTGCGTCCCAAAGCAGCTGCCCCAGCTCTTGCCATTCGACTTTACTAAAAATCAGCAAAGGCTTTTGCAGCTTGCCTTTGCTTCTTGCCCACAGGACCAACTGTTCTAAATCGGCTTCTTTAACTTTTTCAGCTCTCTTTGGGAGAATATGAAAGAGAAGCCGCACTGAAGCCTGCAGATCCCTATCCATGGTGAACTCTCACCCTCTATTTCTGTCCGCGGCTTACCTCCAAACCTCTGCGGGTTGCTTTGCCCTCGCTTTTCTTCGGCAAGGCGGCAACTCCGCTCCAGCTTCCCGGCCCCGGCCACGTCCACACCCGCCGTTCGAGTCCTTTGTGAACGCCGAGGTCTTCCCACTGCTCCATGGACTCTCGCAAACAAACAACAATGCGAAGAGTCTTTTTCCTCCCGTTGGGAAAACGGCCCAATTTGGAGTTTGGAGACTTCTTCTCTGTTCCACCTGATCCCCGTTCACAAAAAGTGAATTTGGGATCCCGGCCTCGTCGCCATGAGGTGATTTGGACCTGAATTTTTGTCGCGCGACTCAAACTCGGCTCACCGTTACTCTAAAAGTAATTTGGAAGCCTTTTTGGAGCTTCTTGAGTCCCTGGTCTGGGCGCCATTGTAAGCCAAACCTCCATGGTGGGAGCAGAGGTGGGATTCCAGAACCTGTGCAGGGGCTGCTTTGCTTTGCAGGCAATGAAGGGCTTGGGCTGCTGCACTGCCCTTGTTTGCTTTGGGATCACTGTTATTTTGGGGGGCAGTGCAGGAGGGAAGAGAGAAAGTGTGGGCTTCTCTCCCCTTTGGGTGGGATTTTCCCTAGCATGTAGGGGTTGGGCCTTCCTCAGAGCCTTGACAGAGATAAAGAGTTTTTTTTCTTGTTTCACCTTGCCCTTAATCTCTTTTCAACAGTTTGTTGTTTGTTTTTCTAGAGGAAGCGTTCTATGTAAGGTCCAGTCGGGATTGGGAAGTGCTTGGGAGCAGCTGCAGCGTGGATGGGCCGTGCCCTTGGAGAAGGCTGAGGACATCGTTTGGGACCAGCTTTTCTCCCAGCGGAGGATGGCGTGAGGTGAGTCCTGTCTGCTGGGGATGGTGGGGTCAGAGCTTTGGGGAGATGGCAGCGAGCACAGGAGCGTCCTGCTCTGGGCAGCTGCTGAGGGCTGGATGTGCCGTGGCTGGCTGCAGGCTGGGAATGTCCTGCCCTCCTGCTCTGCTCCCAAAGGCAGCAGTGATGGGCAGCTCTGGGCACAGCTCTGGGCACAGCCAGCATGGCCTGGGCTCTGTGGGCAGCTGGGACAAGGGGACAGCAGCCTTCAGCTGACGGGTGGTTTCTGGTTTCTCTCCTTGCAGCCGGGCTCTGCGGGTGCTGAGGCTGCTCTGGGCCCTGCCAGGGCTCTGCTGGAGCTCAGCACCGGGCCGCAATCAGCAAAAGGAGAAATGGGGTGCCCTGCAGCACAGACTTGCTTGAGCATTTCAGCAACACAGTTCAAGTTTGCAGAGTGTACACCTCCAAGGGAAAACATGGCACCACCCAAAAAATAAACTTGTTCAATAACTTCTGAAATTAAATCAATCTGGGATGACCTCAAATGACATTTTGCAGCTTGCTCAAGTTGTAGCTCAGCCCTTCTCTGACCAGTTCTCTCCCCCACCTGCCTTTTACTCCCCAACTGCTCCCTATTTTCCCCCAGTGAGCTCCCAGCCCATTCCAGTCTCCATCACACTGTTGCCTTCCTTGGTGCCCCTCACCATGAGGAAGGCCGAGCCCCAGGCTTAGGGACTCATCCTGTCACTGGCTGAGGAGCAGCAATGTCTCAGAGGTCCGGTGGGATTTTAGTGTCATTCAGAGCTGCTCTCCAGCCCCCAGCTCTCCTCACTGCTGAGTTCCCGCTCCCTTTTCCTTGTCCTTGCAGCAGGATGAGCTCTGTGAATCCCCTTGAGCCTCCCCACTCTTCCCAGCCCACACACCCACCTCAGTTAGGCTGAAGCTGCAGCTTCTCTGTCTCCTCTGGCACACCAGTGCAGTCCCCTGTGCGGGGAGCCCCAGCCCCAGAGCACAGCACTCAGCAGTGCAGTCAGGGCTGGAGCAGCTGCCCTGCAGCCCTGGCTTGGCTCTTTGTGGCAGGGAATGCTCCCTGTTTGCAGCTGTCCCTGCAGGATAGCCCCAGGGCAGAGCCCAGCCGGGCTCCCACTGCAGCCCCTGAAGCTGTGAAACCAGTGAAATCATCCAGACTGGGTTTTTCAAAGGCCCTTAGAAGGAAGGGCTTGAGAATAAACGTGCTCTGTTTGCCACACGAACATCGGGGTGAGTGGTCTCTTTGGCTCCAACCCACTTTCCTCCCTGAGCCAGCGTTACCCACTCCCTCACACGTCCCCCCAGTGCCTTCCCACTGCCTTGTCCTGTCAGGGCTTCCGCAGCCCCTCATCCTTTTGTGGCCCCGTCCCCTCAGGGTCTCCCCCAGCCCGGCCAACCTGCCCGGCAGCAGCGCCGCAGCCCCACAGGAGCTCCAGAGGAGCCCCATCAAGAGGCACCTGGGAGCCCTCAGCAATCCAGCCAGCAACACACGGGCTGGAGGACACAGATGGCGCTTCCTGCCTGGGACAGGGCTTGTGGCCATCTCCAGGCACCGGTCTCACAGAGATCCCCACAGCTCCAGCCCCTGCCCATCTGCTCTGTCAGCAGCACAAAGGCTTCAGCAGAACCACCAAAGGCCAAGGGGCTTCTGGCCATTTTCCCTAAAACCCTGCATGCCTGGGCAGCTTGCTGAGCCCAGGAACCTTTTTCCCCCTCTTCCCCATGGCCCTGCAGAGCCTGGGCAGCAAAAGAAAGATCCTGGGAGTCTGTCTATTACAACACATCCTATATTTATATGCTAAAGAAAAACAAAAAAAAGGAAAGAACAATCTTGAAGAAATTAAACATTCCTGCTGGCTCAGGTGGCCCCAGCAGACAGAGCCTCTGGGATCAGCTCTCTGCAGAGCTCCAGCAGCGCAGCCAGCCGAGCCCCGACAGACGAGGCCGTCTCCTCCATGCCCTGCAGAGCCGATCATGCAGGTTGCCAAAGATGGAATATGGAGCTCTCTCTGTTCCCTGGAGGACGTACAATGTTTGAATTGCCAGGCTTCCGACGGCGACACTGATGTCATTGGCCATGCCTTCAAGGGCTGAAAGAGAGAGGAACAGAGCCATGGTCAGTTCCCACATCTGAGGGGACCCAAGGAGACTCTGTGCCAGGGCCATCCCAGCCGGCTCTGGCCATGGACAGAAGGGAGCAGGGACCAGCTGGATCAGCCCGAAGCTGCTGGCCACGAATCCCCCAGGTGCCCTGAAACCTCTGTGTGCTCTGCCCACGCCGGCCCTGGTCCGCACAGGGAGCAGAGCCCTCCGCAGCCGGGGCAGGGCTCCCAGCTCCCCCGCCAGCCCCCGCTGGCAGCCCGCTGCCCTCACTCACCCTCAGAGATGAGCTGGAGCTCTTTGGTCCTCCCCCTCAGGTACTGCCCGGCCGTCCCTGGGAACACAGAGCCTGTCAGGCCCAGCGGCACAGCTCCCTGCCAGCGGCGCTGCCAGCCCTGTGCCCACACGGCCTCCTGGCCCGGCAGGGCTCGGGCCGGGCCCTCGCCGCTCGCTGCCGCCCCAGGGCACGGCTGGAGAGGGCGGCAGCAGCGCCCAGGGCAGGCGGGGCTCCGCGGCACCGGCCCGGGGCTGGGGCCGAGCTGCGGCGGGGCGGGGAGGGAGCTCGGGCTCCTGGCTCACCCATGAACCTGACGGCCGCCTCTCGCAGGGGCTGCTGTAGGTTCTGCAGGTAGGGCAGGGCCCGGCGCAGGTGCTCGGCCACTCTGCTCCTGTCCTCTGCCAGCTGCAGAGAGCGGCAGCAGGGAAGGGTTGGCGCGGGCTCAGCCCCTGGGCCGGGCGCTCTCCGCGCCAGCCCCGGCCTCCCCTGCCCGCACAGCCCTGAGGCGCGGCCAGCAGCCGCCGGCGCCGGGCTCTGGAGGGGGCAGAGGGCCGGCTGCTGCCCGGGGAGCCGCGGTGCCGCCCCGCAGCCCCGCCGGGCCGGGGCTCCATCGGCACCCGGCTCGGGCCGCAGGAGCCGGCACGGCCTCGGGCTGCAGCAGCGGGCAGGGGCACAGCTGCCAGCCTGCACACCGAGCACCGCGCTCAGGGGGCTTCTCCAGCCTGGGGCTGCGGCTTCCCGGCCCTCCTTACCAGCCACTCAGTGAACTTCCACAGCTTCTTGCTCTTCACCAGCTTTTCAAGTTCCGTCCTCTTCAGGAACTCGGCCGCACACAGAAGCGTTTCCTGAGAAGCCTGGAGAGCAGCAGAGACGTGGAGATGGCCCCACAGCCCAGGGCGCAGGACCTGTGTCCCTGTGCCAGGGCCTGGAGGAGGCTGCAGCCCACGAGGCGCCAGGGCAGGAGGCAGCCCAGCCCCCTCCCAGGGGAACAGCAGCAGCCCACGAGTCCTCACCTGTGCCACTCGCTGATTCTCATCATGGCAGTGGAAGAAGAGTGGCAGCAGGCTCTGGTGCACGTGTGTCTTCAGGGCCTCTTTTTCCTTTTCTTGTGGAAGAGTCACCAATGTTCCAAGGAGCACTATGGAGAGCAGCTGCACCTGGCTATTGTCCTGTATGAAGGGAAGAAAAAAAGACCTCAGCATCGGCTGCACGGAGCTCAGCTTGGTGCAGGCCTGCAAATCTGCAGGGCACAAAGTGTCCAGGCAGCAGCCAGTGGCCATGGCTGGGGGCAGTGAGCCTTACGTGGTCAAGGAGTGGCAGGAGAGCCTCAACCAGCTGCAGTGCGATGGGGCTGGGTATCAGCATGTCCTTTTCCAAGATGATAAAGTTGAGGAGCATGGCTGTCATGCTAACTATCTCTCCATCTGCGTCCCAGAGGAGCTCCACAAGACTTTCAGTCAGGCTCCACATTTTTTTGCTCTGTGCGGAACACAAGTTTGTGAAACGCCATCCTGCTGCCGCAGGGCCTAGAGGCCAAAGGGCTGTTCTGAAGCACTTGGGCAGCTGAAGCAGGAGGCAGGAGAGCTGGGAGCAGCTGGCCCAGTGCCCAAAGCCCAGCCAAGCCCAAGTGACTGCATTCCCGAGCGCAGCCTCAGCCCTTGCCCCCTTCTCACCATCAAGGGATTGTTGATGAGATCAAGAAGGGCCCTGAGCACCAGGTGACACTTCTCTCTGCACCCACTCCTCAGGTGCCTTGACAAGATTTGCAGGACTCTGTCAGCACCGCGTTCACTCATGTCCAGGCACTTGAGGACCTGAAAGGCACAGGGCAGTGACAGGGGACCAGCCAGCAGGAGCCCAGAACCGCACAGGGCTGAGCCCAGGCAGCAGCACAGGGCGTGGGCTCCGTCCCAGGCAGCTGTGGCTACGAGAGGGCAGAGAGCTGGGAGGCAGCTGAGCGAGGCAGTGCTGCCTTCAGGCTCACCTCCACAAAGAACGCCAGGGAGGGCAGCTCCCAGCGTGGCTCCTGTGTGCTGAGCAGCCGGAGCAGGTAGCGAGCGATCCGGGAGCACAAGGGGATGGAGACACAGGACATCTCCCTGGCAGGAGACAAAGTAACCAAGACTGTGGGCCAGGGGGACAAACCTCTCCCAGGACTGACTCACAGAGGTCTGGTCTTTCCCCAGCATCCTGCAAGGGCCCCTGGGCTATTTGGGAGGTGGCTCCTTGTGGGAACCCTCCTCTCCCAGCCTTTTCCAGTCTGCTTGGCTGTCCCTGGGTGACAAGGCCCTCTGGCCCGTGACCACAGGCACTGTATGGGGCACCCCAGGCACAGAGCACAAATGTCAGAGGCAGCGGGGAGAAGGGGGGTCTCACTTGGCCAGCAGACCCACGGCATGGTGGTAGGTGTCAGCACACAGCAGCTTGTCCCAGCCACACTTGCGTTCCATTGCCACCACCACATCCTCGTGCTGCATTTGGCAGAGCAGGGACTTCAGGGTCTGCACTGCAAACCTGTGTGCAGAGCAAAGCCCGGGTCACGCTGGGAGAACTGGCTCCTGCCCAGGGATGTGGCAAGGACAGGAGGACTGGCATGGAGCACCTGTTGGGGCTGGTGTCAAGGCCATATTGCTGCTGGCATCCCTTCCAGAAGGTATTGACCTCCTCTGGCACATCCAGAGTGCTGAAGAGCACTTGGAAGAGCAGATGCACCAATAGGTGGGGGAGATACACAGTCACCATATGTGGCACACAGGGCAGCTGGAGGATCTTCCACATCAGCACAGTTGCCTGCAAAGGACAGAGCAGCCCGAGACAGCGCTCAGTGCCGAGGTGTTCGTGTGGCAGGGCCCGAGAACGGGAGGGAGAGGCCTGGAGAGCCACAGGGGAGCACCGGGCCTGGTGGCCCTGAAGCTGCCCCGAGGCCAGGTTTCAGCCCAGCGCCTGAGGCAGGGAGACGCCGTGAGGGAGGGAGGATGGAGAGCTGCTGGAGAGGTGGCCTTGGGCCAGCAAAGGCCAGTTGCAGAAACTCACAGCCAGGACAAAGACACCCGTTTTGTCCCCATCGGAGGTGCACGTGCTGTGCTCTGGCCAGCTGCCCAGCACATCGAGGAGTACGAGCATGGCCGGCTCTGCAGTCCTGGGCGAACACATGATGCTCTTCCACATGGTCAAAGCAGCTCTGTGGGGTCAGAGCTCTGTCTCAGGGGGGTCTGAGACACAGCAGCGTGGCCTGGGCAGCAGTGGGGACCTGAGCTGGCTGCCAGCCCTGCCTCTGCCCACTGCCCCTCACCAGTAGCACTCAGGCAGCCCAGCCCTGTAGGGACGGGCCCCTGAGGGGCAGCGAGGGAGCAGCAGGCTCGGGGGCTGATGTGCCAGGGCTGGCAAAGGGAGCAGCCAGAGGGCCCTGGGACTCTCTGTTGGTCAGACACCTGGGACAGGCTGTACAGGCTGATGGGCTGGGGAGCCCTGAGCCCTCTGGGCAGGTGGGCCCCATACCTGTCACACAATGGGGCCACACGCAGGAGCGTCATGACTACGTCAGCGGGCCGTTCTTCGGTGAGATCCAGCAGGGTCCTGTTCAGCCTGTGCTCAGCAAACTGGTTGGCCTCGAGCCACTGGTGGATGTACCTCACCATGGCGGGCACCTGGAGAAGGCACGAGGAAACTTGGAAAGCTGCCAGAGGGAGGAATGTGCCCAGCTGCCCCAGAGAAGTGCTTCCCTTGCCACCACACTGCCATGGCCTCAAAGGCTTCCAGGGAGCAGCAGACGTGCCTTGGGAGGCCAAGTAATTCCTGGGAGGCTCAAACCCTGGCCACAGGCTGCTTACTTGCTTTGGATTGGAAAACCCCTCCTCTACCAGCATATCAGCCAGGGCAGCACAGGTCTGGGTTTTGAAGATGTGCGAATATGCTCTGGGCCCTGTGCCCATGGTGGTCTCTTCCTCCCGGATCCTCTTCATGAATTTGCAAACCAGCTGTAGGAGAAGGGCAGGAAGCCAGGGATATTCCATGGAATTCTCCAAGCATGGTGCTTGGCTGAGCAGTGCCAGCAGGCCCAGCCCAGGTGGGGATGGCTGCAGGTACCTGCGCTGTTCTGCGGAAGCGGCCACGGGTGCGTTTCTGCTCTTGTGTGCGCTCCACGGCTGCACCTGGCAAAGAGCGAGCGCAGCCCGAGCTGAGGGGCTGCGGGAGAGGCCGGAGAACACAGCCCAGCCCTGCACTGCCCAGGCAGGGACAGCCCTGCGACGCCCCAGGGCATGGAGCACGGCTGTGGGGTGTCTGCCCGGCCCCTATTCCATCCTGTCCATGGGCATGGCCCCAGGGGATGGGATGGGATGGGATGGGATGGGATGGGATGGGATGGGGCGGGGCCAAGCTGGCTGCAGCTACTAACCCTGCAGCCCAGCAGCCCAGCTCTGCCACTCACCCTCCTGCAGCTGCTTGAATGGCACCACTTCTTCAGTCTCGTGTGCAGGGGCAACTCCAGGGCCTTCTTCCTCTTCCTCCACCCAGGCCAGCTTGGGCACTCTTGGGGGTCTCTGCTCCATGTCAGTGGCTGGATTTGTGGTCTGGCCTTGAGGTCAGCTGCAGTAATAACACCTGGAAAAGCTCCAGGTCAGACACGAAGGAGTGCGCTGTGTGGGGGCTCCTCACAGCACTGCTCTGTCCCGTCCTGTCCTGTCAAGTGCTTGGAGCACTGTGGAATGGCCTTGTCACCGCCAGCTCCTATGTCACCACGTGTCACAAAGGGTCTTTTGACATGCTGTTCCATACCATGGTGACCATGCTGCAGCATGTCACAAAGGGCCCCTGCACACACTGCCCCCTGCGCTATGGCCGCCTCCAGCCCACCCAAGATGGCCAGGTTAGAAGGAATCCCTCACCCCAAGTGTCCAAGACAGGCTGACAGAGTCTTTAGGAACGGCTCAAACCATCAGCAAACGCTGCCCTGCTCTGCGGGCTCAGGGCAGCAGGAGCCCCCGCAGCTGGGAAGTGCACAGGGCCTTCCACAGAAGCTGGCACTGCCTCCTTGAGACATGTCCCAGCTGGTGGCCATCCTAAACCCGCAGGTGTGGCACGCACAAGGAATGTGTGGGTCAGGGCACGAATGCTGCTCTGACCCCTGGGGCCCGGGGAGCGCTGACACCAGCAGGTGAGGCAGAGTCCCTGCCCAAGCAGACCTGCCACCCCCCGAGCCCTGGCAGCGCTGGTGCCCTGTCTTCTGCCCCAGAGACCTGTGCCCCTGGGGGGCTTCTGTGCCAGAGGGAGCCAAACCCACGTGCACTGGGGGGCTGTGCTCCTGCCTGCAGGGGCTGTTGGCAGGAGCACCTGGAGCAACTGCTGGCAACACTTGGTCTCTGTCAGAAGCTCTTACTCCATGCTGAAATTATTTTCTCATTGAAGTTATTGCCTTCAGCACAAAAACACCTTAGCAGCAAAGGCACAGAAGAATCTGGCAAGTAAGAATCCTCAGTTCAGGAAAGCTTTACTTCCCATTGCTCAACTCAAGTAGTTCCAAAACACTGCAAACTTCCCAAATTAATTGGGATAGCCTGAGGAGGAGAAGATTTGGAATTTTGCTTCCCATCTCAAAGCAGCAACTCATTTGCCTTAACCTCATCCATTGAGGGTCACTTTACAGAACATAACACTACACAAAACAAGGGCAAAACCAAGGGCCATTCTTTGGTTTGCAAATGGTTTTCTATGAAGGGATGATAATATCCTAATTATCTTAAGGAATAAAAGCTCTCAAGAAATGAAAGTCCACTCAGTGTTACAAAAGTAGCCCAAACAAATGAATAGAAGGAAAAAAGGCTAATCCTCCCCCTGGTGGAGATATCGAATTGTCCAGTAAAGTACAGCTCTCCCCTCTTGTTCCTTGCAGGAGAATCAGGACCATGAAGAGGAAAAATCACAAATATTCTTTCTGCCCTCCGTAACCAAAGCTGTGCCAAACCAGAGATGCTGCCTTCAAACTGACTCAAATTCCAACCTAAACCGCTCACCTTCCAGACAACTCCTTCCCCAACACCCCACCAACACCAACACCCCCAAACTCCGGCACAGAAGCCCTCAACACCCCGTCAGGGGCCCCAGCTGCCCCCGTCCCTCTGCAGAGCTTTCCCACCCTCCAGCAGATGCCCGGGTTCCCTGCACGTGCCATGGGATGGCACTCAGGAGGATCTGCTCCGAGGCCTTCCCCTGGAGCGAGCTCAGGCTGCCAGGCCTACGGGTCCTGGATCATCCTTCCCACCGAGCCTTCCTGTGCACGGCTGTTCCATCTGCACCTTTGGGCTCAGCTCGGACTTCTCCACCTAACCAGGAGTGTTGCAGCGCGCGTGTGCGGGGCGTGCTGGACGGCTGTGGCACAGGCGTGACTGTCCCCCTGCGAGCTCTGCAATTCCCAGTTATCGGCAGGTCTGGCGCAGGGACAGACAGCGATGACACGGGTCTGGGTGTAGAACAAGATGGATTTATTCCTGGGCTCCCCAGCAAGACTGGGGGGCGGGGGTGAACAGAAGTTTTTATACAGCAACTCAGGAGGCGGGTGTAGGAAAGTGAACCAGTGAGGATATGGTAAGGGAGGAATATAAGGTGGGGCAAAGAGCTTATGAGCCTATCAGGGAAAACAGGGGAGGGGAATAATACAAAGTAAGGAGTGGGGTATCGAGGGCAGCAAGACAGACACTGAACTCTCCGGAGAAAGGGGTAGGGATAAGGAGGATTGACAACTTGGAAGGGAGGAGCTTAGGGAAGGACTTGGGAAAATTGGCAACTGGGAAAGGGAGTGGATTAGGCAGGAGAACAGGGGGCAAACATGGATTCAAAGCAAAACACACCACAATATCTCCCTGTGTCTTTTTACAAAAGGGAGGAGAGTTCTGGGGTTCAAAACAAATTAATGAATCTATTATATAACATATCATATACATAATCTATCATATAACAGATTTTACCATATGACAAATTATTACAGCAACAGAAAAGAATTCAAAAATTATCAGGAAAAAATGAACTACTCATGACCATAACGCATGGGGTAAGGATCTTCTTCACATAAGAAACTTAATATAAAATGTACAAAGTTATTATATACGGAATCAGGGTCCGGAGGAGGAATTGCAGTGGAATTATCTTGAAGTAAGACTGGGCTTGAAGCATGAATCACCGAGGAATCTGCAGGTTCTGGCTTTCTGGGGTTTGAAAGTGATTTTGGAGGTCACTCCTCCTGTAGGATGTGATCAGCAAATGGAGATGTGGTCTTGCTCATTTTATTTTATGCTACTGTGGGTATTAACTGGACAGAATGATTCCTCTCTCTATAATATATAACTTAACAAGCAGATTATTTTAAAGTATCAAGAATATAATGAACAATTTTTTAGTCAAGAAATTTAGTTGGGAATGTGGGAAAATGGTTAAACAAAAATCAACAAAGATCATGAAGTTTAAAGAAGGTCTAAAGGTAAATTAATGAACTCTTTTTCCAAAGCGTACTGTGAAAACTTTAAAACAATATTGAAATTAAAAGGAACATTTGGTAGGGCATAATTAAGGAAATGGATGGGCAACTTGGGCAGTCACTCTTGAATAATTTTATTCTTATATTAATTCAATTGTTTATTTTTATTTTCATTATGAAGATGGTAGGTTGTTTTTTTTTTACTTTGGACAGTTTTTTCTTATGTGATCTTTCTTTTTACAGGTGAAACAAATTTTTGACTTTGATGGGCAAACACTTGCCTCATGTCTCTTTTTTCTATATTTAAAACATGTTTTAAATTGTTCTTTTTGGTTCTGTTTTTAATTTATCTCAACTGTGGAAGCTTGTAGGTTAATGATCTTCAACAGTTTCCACAAAGGCTTCGAAGGGTCAAGGGCTTTGGGGAGATTCTTCCAAAAATTAAATGCAAATTTAATTCATAATTGATTCAGTTCATAAGAAGAAATATGATTACTTTGGCGACTGCCACAAGTGTTATGGGGTGTCGATAAGGGGACGAACCTGGGCGCCGCCATCCTAGGGAGAGACAAAATGGAGGATTCCAGGTCTGGGTTTCCAGCTCCACCTTCCTCCGAAGGAGGTCTCTCCATAAAAGAGGGTGATCTCCCAAGAAGGAGGGTCCCCTGACGGGAGGCCCCATAGGCGATCCTCCCCCCAGAGGAGGAGCCGGAATAAGGAATGGGGGATGGTCCAACCCCACCTTCCAACAAAGGGCACTGGCCCCCACACGCGATTCGTGCAGGGGCCTCTGCGGAAGGGGTGGGGCTGGCGGGAAACTTGGGGCCGGAGAAGAAGGGTCCAGGCAGGAAAGGGTGTTCCAAGCGGTGTGGCCATCACCACCTTGGAAAGGAGTGCCGAGTGCACTGCAGTTCCCTCAAGAGGTCTGAACAGTGTCCAGCGGGGTGCTTGGGGTGCTGTGGCCAACACCATCCCCAAGGGAGGATAGGGTAGGGTTTTGGGAAGTCTGAGGGACAGAGGGTACAGGGAGCTTCACAGAAGCCACAGGGGAACTTACAGGGGAGGAGCCCAACGCAGCTAAATTTCAACGAGGTGCATGGGTGTCAGGGGCTTCTTGCATAATATTAGATTCTCCCCTATTCTTATAAACGTGCCATCATTTGATGGAAAATTTCTGCCCTATTCTTGTCTTTTCTACTCTCTCAGCCCTCATGGGATACCCCAGCCTTTGGGGGAGAGCCCAGCTTTGGGTAAGAGAGAGACTAGAAAAGCACCTCCTGATAAGTGGAGACTACCCTCAGGGGATGCCCCAACCTTTTGGGGAAGAGTGAGGATCCAAGGGAGTGATGGTGAAGATCCCCTTGGATCAGGAGGGTACCCTGTGGTCTCCGCAAGCTTGGCCACCAGCTTGTGGAGACTAAACCCACCCGCCAGGAAAATACCCTGCTTCGGCTCACTTACCCTCAGAGCTGTCCTTTGCTTTTAGTTAGTTTTAGCTAGCTGAGGCAAAGAAGTTCCCTGGACTGTGGCTTTTTCTTTTCTTCAGACCTGCTCAAACCTGCTCTGGACTGAGCACCCAGAAGAGCACTGGCAGCTCACACCTGTGGCCCACCAGGCCCGGCCTGGGCCGCAGCATTTCCAGTGCCGGAGGGACCGATAAGAGACTGAGTGAGCCGAACTGCAGCCCGGGGAGGGGACTTTCTGAGTTTATCTCTCTTTTGGAGCAGCAAGAAGTTTTATTGTTTAATATTCTTTAGGTTTTCTTGCTTAATAAAGAGTTTTTTCCATTTTCCACCAAAGGGGTATTTTTTCCCGAATCGGTTGGGGGGAGGGGCTGATTGAATCTGTTTCCTAGAGGAACCCCTTTGGACGTTCTTTCCCAAATTTGCCCTGAACCAGGACAGTGAGGAAGATCAGTGCAGCACCCATGCGAGTCACAGGCCCCGAAGTTAGAGCCCAACATCCTCCAGCTAGAGAGAGAGGGTACAGCCCACGGGCTGGCCTGTGATTCTTTCTGTGTGACCATGGGGAAGACATAGGAAGGTGGGATGGGAAACCCACTTCTGTCCTGGCAGCGTGGTCACATCCACTCAAGGAGGGAAACACTAACCAAGGGAATTCCAGTAAAGGGAAGGCAGCCTCAGCCTCACATGACCAAGCTCCCGGGTATGATCTGTCAGATCCCCTTGAAGGTACCTCTACCATGTATGCCCAGGAAAGAAATAATAACCAGGGTTAGAGGGGCTCTGCCTCTAGCCAGGGAGAGGCACGGGGAAACCGGATCTTCTGGATGGTGTGGATCCGATGGCCTGGCACATCAGAGCCACAGAACTATGAAGCCTTAGCTGATACTGGTGTGCAGTGTACCCTAATGCCATCAGGACATGTAGGGGCAGAACCTGTTTCCATTGCTGGGGTGACGGGGGGATCACAGCAATTGGCCCTGGTGGGAGCCGAGGTGAGCCTGACTGGGAAGGAGCGGCAGAAACATCCATTGTGACCGGCCCAGAGGCCCCGTGTATTCTGGGCATAGACTTCCTCCAGAACGGATGTTACAGAGACCCAAAGGGACTCAGGTGGGCTTTTGGCATAGCTGCTGTAGAGGCAGAGGACATTAAGCAATTGAACACCTTGCCTGGAATATCAGAAAACCCATCTCCAGTAGGACTCCTGAGGGTGGAAGAGCAACAAGTACCAATTGCCACTTCGACAGTGCACGACCGGCAGTATCAGACAAATCAAGGTGCTGTGATCCCCATCCACAGAATGATCCGTGAGCTGGAGAGCCAAGGGGTGGTCAGTAAGGCCCACTCACCCTTCAACAGCCACACTTGGCCTGTGCGAGCCCCACTTGTCTGACAGACAATGGACATTGACTGTGGACTTGAATGAAGTGACTCCACTGCTGAGCGCTGCTGTGCTGGACATGCTGGAACTCCAGCATGAGCTGGAGTCCAAGGCAGCAAAGTGGTACGCCACTATTGACATTGCCAATGTGTTTTTCTCCATTCCTCTGGCAGCAAAAGGCAGGCCTCAGTTTGCTTTTACCTGCAGGGGCGTGCAGTACACCTGGAACCGACTGCCCCAGGGTGGAAGCACAGCCCCACCATCTGCCATGGACTGGTCCAGGCTGCACTGGAAAAGGGTGACGCTTCGGAGCACCTGCAGTACATCGATGGCATCATTGTGTGGGGGAACATGGCAATGGAAGTATTTGAGAAAGGAAAGAGGATCATTCAGATTCTGCTGGAAGCCAGCTTTGCCATCAAGAAGAGCAAAGTCAAAGGGACCTGCCCAAGAGATCCAATTCCTGGGAGTAAAGTGTCAAGATGGACGGGGTCAGATTCCCACTGAGGTCATCTGTCGCGGTGCCTCCGGTGGTCAGCAGCTAGCCCGATGTTAGGCACACTGGACAACGAAGGCCACCCCCTATGGCCACCGCGGGCGAGGGGTGTGACCTGTGAGTCCTGCTGCACCAGACCTGAGAGGGACCCTCTGCGACGAGGACAAAGACGCGGGAGTCGTCCTTAAGGGGGTACCACAACTCCAAGTTTATTGGTGGTCGACGAGACCCACCTTAGCATGAATAGGGTATGCCCCAAAAGGCAGAGGGTTACAGCCAGCAAGGGATTATAACAGGGGGTGTCGACATGGGGAGGGAACAACCGTGGGCCAACGGGGAAAAACCGGGGAGTGGTGAAGGGAATGACAATCAAGGGAGGGATCCAATAAGGTGAGAGGGAAGGAGGGGTCCCCGGGGATCAGCCTGTCCCCTGAGGCCCTGGCTGGAAGGTTCTGGATAGAAGGGAGAGGCCTCAGGGTGACAGACAGGCCCCGGGGTGGGGTCAGGGGAATGACTCAGTGGAAAGTTATGGGGCAAGGGAAGACTGACAGGCGAAAGGGGGAGGAGGAGAAGGAGGGACAGATCATGTAACATAAAGAGGGGGAGAGGAAGAAACCATAATAGGGGGGAACTAAAAACACACCCCAACAGTCATCAACAAGATCAATGTGATGTCTCCACTGACCAGCAAGAAGGAAACAGAAGCTTTCCGAGATGCTACAGGTTTTTGGAGAATGCACATTCCCAAGTACAGCCAGATTGTGAGCCCTCTCTACCTGGTCACCCACAAGAAAAACGATTTCCACTGGGGCCTGTACAGCAGAAAGCTTTCACCCAGATAAAGCAGGAAATTGCTCATGCAGTAGCTCTTGGCCCAGTCAGGACAGGACCAGATGTGAAGAACGTGCTCTACTCTGCAGCCAGGCACCATGGTCTGTCCTGAAGCCTTTGGCAGAATGTGCTTGATGTGACTCGAGGCCAACCACTGGGATTTTGGAGTCAGAGCTACAGAGGGTCTGAAGCCAACTACTCCCCAACAGAGAAGGAAATCTTGACCACCTACGAGGGAGTCCAGGCCACCTCAGAGGTGATTGGTACAGAAGCACAACTCCTCCTGGCACCCCGACTACCAGTACTGGGCTGGATGTTCAAAGCAAAGGTTCCCTCCACCCACCATGCAACCAGAGCTACATGGAACAAGTGGATTGCTCTCGTCACACAACGCACCCATATTGGTAAACTGAATTGCCCTGGGATTTTGGAAGTAATCACAAATTGGCCCGAAGGTGAAAGTTTTGGTGTCACAGATGAAGAAGAAGAACCAGTGACATAGGCTGAAGAAGCTCCACCATATAACCAACTGCCAGCAGAGGAAACATGTTAGGCTCTATTCACTGACGGTTCTTGTCACATCGTAGGGATTAATCAGAAGTGGAAAGCAGCTGTATGGAGTCCCACACGATGGGTTGCAGAGGCCACTGAAGGAGGAGGTGGATCAAGCCAGCTTGCTGAACTCAAAGCCGTTCAACTGGCCCTAGACATTGCAGAAAGGGAGAAGTGGCCAACACTCTACCTCTACACTGATTCATGGATGGTAGCCAGTGCTCTGTGGGGGTGGCTAGAGAGGTGGAAAGAGGCTCACTGGCAGCGTAGAGGAAAACCAATTTGGGCTGCTGAAGAGTGGAAAGATATGAGTACCCGGGTAGAGAAGCTACCTGTGAAAGTTCACCATGTAGACGCCCATGTTCCCAAGAGCAGAGCCAATAAGGAGCTCAAACACAACCAGCAGGTAGACCAGGCTGCAAAGATAGGGGTGTCAAAGATAGACTTGGATTGGCAACACAAGGGGGAATTGTTCTTAGCACCATGGGCCCATGATGCCTCAGGCCATCAGGGTAGAGATGCCACCTATAAGGGGGCATGAGACTGAGGGGTGGATCTAACCATGGACAGTGTTTCTCAGGTGATCCATGACTGAGACCTGTGCTACCATCAAACAGGCCAAGCGGGTGAAGCCCCTCTGGTATGGTGGGCGGTGGTCCAAGTACAAGTGAGGGGAGGCCTGGCAGATTGACTACATCACCCTTATCCTGCACAGGAACCCCCCTGAATCCCCCATTTCCGGACATCAGGACCCCCTGCTCCCCTTTTCCCGGCCATCCCACGGCTCCCAGCCTCCACACTTGCTGTGTGCCTGAACCTGGGACACCTGGAACACCTTGGATCCCCATTCCTGCCTTTCCCAGCCCCCAGCCCCTCCTTTCCTCACACTCAGGAGCCCTGGCACCCCCTTTCCCGGGCACAGGATTCCCTGGACACCCCATCCCAGCTGTCCCAGTCCCTGCACCCCCTTTTCTTGGCTCTGAGCCCATGAACCTCCTTCCCAGCTCTGCCTGCTCTTCATGTCCCCCCTTTCCTCGGCCTGTGGACCCCCCTGGATCCCCAAACTCTCACTTTCAGCCCCCTCAGCTCCCCCAAATCTCCGTGTCCCCCCAGTTCTCCACTCCCTGCAGTTCCTGGAAGTGGCGCTGTCGGAGCCCGGCCCGGGGGTCCCCCAGTCCTTGATTGTGGGGGACATGGACGGGACCCCCTGTGAGCGCTGCGGCAGCGAGCGGGGCTGGATGGAGGCACAGACACCGGGGATGGGGGCGGGAGCTGAGCTGGGATATTGGGATAGGCAGAGCTGGGATATTGGGATAGCCCGAGCCGGGATATTGGGATAGACAGAGCTGGGATATTGCAATAGCCAGAGCTGGGACATTGCAATAGCCAGAGCCGGGATATTGGGATAGCCAGAGCTGGGATATTGGGATAGGCAGAAGCAGGGATATTGGGATAGCCAGAGCCGGGATACTGGGACAGCCAGAGCCGGGATATTAGGACAGCCAGAGACGGGATATTGGGATAGGCAGAGCTGGGATATTGGGATAGCCAGAGCTGGGATATTGCAATAGCCAGAGCCGGGATATTGGGATTACCAGAGCTGGGATATTGGGACTTCTTTCAGCAAAGGCCTCCATGCTAAAGTAAGCAAATGTTGCAGTAGCTGTGATCCCATAAGAAGTTTGAAAATAAAAAAAAAGAGTGATGAGACCCTGTGCCCCCAGGGAGAGAAGAGGAAGACCTCTGTTCCCAGAGATGAAGATGTTTTCAGACATAGATGAAGAGAACCTTTGCTCTTAAATAGCTGATCTTGAAACTAATACCCCATAAGTTAACATGGACTATAAACAGAGCTGTGGGAAAAGCTGTGAAAAAATGAGAGGGACTTGACAATTACAGATTTTTCTGGGCAGCTGCTGTTGGTGGAAATGAAAAGCCATGAGATAACTGTTTTCTTGTGGAGAAGTGTCAATAACGTTAACAAGAGGAACTTCTCCTGCTAAGTTAACTGAAGAAAGACTATTCTAGAGGTAGTGAACTGACTGAAAATTTTAGGTTTTTTCTCTTT